AATTAAGAAAATGTCTTTAAAAACAGCATGAGTCCATTTGTATCTGTGAATAGAGCAGCAATGGTGTCATGCTGGCAGATAGAGAGTGAGGGAGAGATGCAGAAAAAAAACAGGGAAATCTCAAAGGAGTAAAATGGCTGCCGAAAGGAATCTAACCTAAATATCCCTCCTTTTTTTCTCCCTTGAGTGGCACACCACTTCAAGGGAAACTGATTTTCATGCAATTGTCTTCTGATTAGATCTTAATCTATTTTTACACCTCTGTGATGAGACGGTCTTTGTTATGAGTCCTCTTTTAAACAGTGGTCCCATAACGAGGAGCAGCACCAGTCAATGTAGCTGTGGGGTGACGGCCAATAGCACCTGATGCAACCGAAGACACCTCTGAACAGTCCAGACGTTACAAACTGCAGGTTAAAACACAACTTATCTGATTCTGAATTACACAGCACAGATTTTAATCAGGTTACAGTTTGGATTTCTTGTTAATTACAGGTTTCGTGGTTTGATTCCAATTGCGACATGTCAATTTGTTCTTGAGAAAGACGCTGAGCCTCAAATTATTTCCAAAATACAGTACCGTTGCTTTTCATTGGCAACCAAATGTAACTCAGTTGAGTCAGTTGTTGGTTAATTATGTTAAATGTCTAAATGACTACTATAAAGCTGCATTGTCAAAATCAATCACATTATCTTTTTAATCCCCCTGGATACAAAATAAATTAGGGTCAATTACAATTCAATATGTATATTTGTGGGCCAAGGTGAAAGTGCTCATTATCCTTCATCATTAGTGGTTTAGTCCAAGAGGTGGATCCCATAATTCTCAGCAGTCTCAGTGGCAATTAACTTTCCCGAGGTACAATTCACATGCGCATGTTTGTAGTTAAAGTATTTTCTACTGTGATATACTCAAGACGCCATTCGACAGCCGGCAGAATATATGTATATACCTCAAGTATAGAACCAACGCTAACACCAGATGCTAATCAGAAACTTGTACGTCTTATTCATTAAGCCAGTTAAAGCTTATCTCTTTGTCTTTTGGCTGCCAGATTGTCACCTGAGAATCCAAATGCAGACAACATCTTCTCCAGACAAGACCAGCCGTCTGTCTGCTAACGACTTTTTAATTATATGAGGATTCATTCTGCTGGGATCAAAGCCAACATGGCAAGGATGCCCCCACCCCCAACATTCAATAAAGGCTACACCATACTTGTATTTTTCAAATGGAAACGTCAACAAGAAATTATTACTTCTTCAACTACTTGTATATCAGGTCTCTTGAGCAGTTAAGAGATAATGTTGAGTAATATATCTCATGAGTGATTTAACATGTAACCAGTTTGCTACATTTTAACTTCCCTACACATGTGCTGGAAAGTTTCAGTTTTGTTTTTTAAAGTTTCATTTGTTTCTTCAGTTAACTATTAGGGGGCAGACAGAATTAGCTTTTTACAACAAATAAAGATGAACGACATGAAGCTTCTGAAAGTGAAAAGTGAAGCAAAAGCGTCTTGATCACCCCCTGTTGGCTGGCTACAAATGGAATATGGACGAAAGGACAAAACTAGAAAAAGGTTTTCGCAAGGTTTTCTCAAAAATGGTTCCTGGCCTTTCAGATAGTTCTTATCACATGTGTATAACATGTGTATAAGTGCTTCTGGTTAACTTGGTTTTAATTTGTTATTTGTTGATATAAAACAGTGTGAAACAGCTGAGACTGACTTATGATCGGTTGAGTGATTTTATCAACAAGACCTCAATACTGTGCTTCCATTTCCTGATCACTCCTGCACAGACTGCGGCTCTGTGCTGCTCTGCTCGTATTCACATTTGTACGACAGGTCGGGCTGATGCAAGCGCAATGCATGATGGTACATATTGGTCGGTTAGTGACAGTGTACACTTTTTTCTCGGTGCATTGTGGGAATCAATGAGTGCACCAGATTGGGTGTAAAAAATTGTATTTAACATTCAGAGACCAAAAACGGGAACTCACTGTATGGAGGACTATATAATGATTAGTGAGTGATTTCGGACACAGCCCATCTGACCAGCTTTAACAAGGCAGGTAAGAATAAGTAGATCTGTAGATCAATCTGTCTCGTCTGTCCTGCAGTTGTCAGATGTGTCACTATTATAACGTTAGTTGATAACGGTTGCTCATATAATAATGTTAGTTGATATTGTTTGTCCCTTTAATAACATTGGTTGGCTGCTGATGATTCAGTGAGTTGTGTCCCAATAGGGAAGATTTTCTAGCCCTCCCCTTTGTGACTCCATTTGGAGGGGGACACTCCAGCATTCAGGGGTAGGGCCTAGGGAGAGCATATTTTCTCCGGAGGAGGTGCATTAGTGAATGCAAATGTCTGAGTGAGACAGTTTCTGTGGACTTTCTCCACCTGGCCTCCTACTTTAATGTCCGCAGAAATCCAGGAGAATCCAATGTGAGAACACAGCAGGATTCACCCTGAGTGAGTGGGTTGATGGCGCTTCTATCATGCGGGAGTCGCAAAAATAAAAATAAAACAGATATCTATCTGTGAAAAAGCGGTGTCACACACATGGAAGACACTGAAGTAGATGTCAAGAGAGTTTGTGGTAATAAGAGCCAACACTGGTGTCTGTGAGTTGTCAGGAAAATCATGTGATGTCTGCAGAGAAGTTACAACATAACTTCCTGTCTCTTCCTGCTGCAACTGGGTGTTCCACCTTTCGCCTGAATAATGGAAAGGATTTGATGCTGTTGTGAATGTGTGAGAGGCAAACTCGTGGGTAAACTTTAAACTGTTGTCCTGGCAGGATTTCAACTTAAATACCCATCCAGGTTTTAGTGCATTGTACAAATAAATGTTGTCCTCTTTACACAAACCTCACGAGAACAAGAAAATTCAAATGTTAATTCTGTTAATACTGTCACAAGACCTTTTTGCAAGAGAAAAAAACACGTGGCTGGCTCTGCAGATAGACAGGCCTTTGGGATATATGAATAATGTTTCAATTATTCTGTGCTTTTTTTGTCAAGCAGAAGATTCACTCTTTCCCAGTAAATAATTATTCAGTGTAAACTGGCATTAGACATGCTTCTGAGTGTCCTATATTTAGAAAAATGTCTTTCTAAAGTCCCAGTTCACGGCACCATAATTCATATAATTAAACTGATTGTTAGAGGGAACGGTGAAGGATAACCACAACACTAAAACGAATCAATTAAGCATTTTCAATTCAATTTTGAGGCTTTTGTGTCCCTTCAATATTTCTGAGCTAAATATGAATAACCCACATGATTATTATTTGACAAAATGCATGACAGGGTGAAAAATAGAAAGACAAAGACTTCTCCTTGGACTTCGTTTGACATGTGTTGGAGCTGCAGGTCTTTGGTAATGGATCAAAGTTAGTGACAACACAGTTCCCAGTCCAACAGGGAAGGTCCTGAGGCTGTTAGATAATGCTATCAGAGTTGTTATTTTGCTAATAATATCAAATAGCACAAATCTGCAAGTTTGCTGAAGAAGAAATTAGAAAACCATTGAAAGATCAAGAAAAGAATTCAGAAAAATAGATTGATCGGTCAGTCGGTCATTCGGTATATGGAGAGATACTTTATTTATCCCAAAGGAAATTTAAACATCAATAAATTATCTGTAATTTATATGAAAATACTAAACTTACGTGAGGAAAATATAACTTTGAACCAAAACCAAACATATTGTGCATAGTTTCTAATATGGCCAATAACAAAATATCTCCCTTTCTAACTTCTTTCTCTCTGTCATGTATATGGAGGAGCATCTTTCTCCTTATTTAAAATATTTTTCATTATAGCCAGCAGCGATAATTACATTGAAATAAAAGCTGTCGTTCTCATTATGCATAGAAGGCTGAATGTTCACCTCTTATATAATATCAGACATCCACCATCGTTGGGCTACATGAGCGGAGGAGGTGAAGGCAATCTGTAACGCTCGAACAACTCAACGCTGCAAGAAAACAGCTGCTCTTGCAGCATCCTTATACAAAAGCAACCAGTGTTATCTCATTACAACTCAGGGATTCTGTGTGCAGGGCAACTTTCTTGACAACTTGCCCTTCAAGACAGCAGGCAGACACATTGTTTTATTTAAATGTAAGAAAAGGAGCATTTTCTTAAATAAAAAAAAAGGTATAAAGCAAATCTTTGAGCTGCTTCTTGCTTCAGCTTCCCTACGGAGTCCTGAGCATGAAGCTGTCCCTTGAAATCCGAGCACAAACACCAACCTTCCTTCCTCACAACGTGCCCTTTTCTCTTGTTGCGAGAGCCAACACTCGTCCATGTATTGCTTTGCTTTCACCTGACAATCTGACACTGGGATTTCCTACAAGCAAGTGTAGTGTGTGGGCGGCTTTGTTGAGCTGAGATGTGCAGGGTCATGTGCGGATGCGTGGGCGGGAATGTACAGTATTAGATTCTAAGTATATTCACTTGGACACAGTGAAGGAAAAGAGGTGCAGGCAAGTTATCAAGTCTATCAACAGCATCCCTCATCATCCTGAACTCTGGAGTTGTCAGCTGTCAAACCCCAACACAGTGAGGAAACCCCAGCTCAGCCTGGGACAGACTGCACGTGAGCTGTCTACGCCACCTAGTGGAGATTGAACATGAATGGCCACCCCAGTTTATTGTGCAAACTTGACTTCCCCTTCCTGTTTCTAATTTCTTTCCAAATGTTCATCGACTGACCTTCAGCCAACAGTGATTGAATGAGTCTTCTGTTGCTTTTGTTTGATATATTTTCAATTATTTTTCTGATCAACAAAAATTATAAAAATGTGTCAAACGGCAAATAAAAAAGTTATTAATGCTTTGAGGACAGCATGGAAAGCAGTGTCAGAGACTTATCAGCAGCGTTTTATGGAATGTGAAATGTATGTGTGTTGTGTATTGTTCAGTAAAATTCTTGATTTTTACAAGGGGACCTTGAAGGCACCTGTTACCATGACAACAGTACACACAAAAAGCAGCCGATGTGTTCACTGATCTTTATCAGGGGGTAAGTTCATTTCTTTATAAGCATCAGTTTAAACACGAGTGTAACAATGTTTTATTAATGTGAACGTGCAGCTAGAACCAGTGATCCATCATCATGATTATTATACACACTGGGTCTGTCTGGTAGCAGCTGAAAGCAAAAAAACATGTTTTTAAATGTGTATTAAAACAGGGTCTCATAGTAAAAGACAGTGTTGAATATCAAACAGAATTATTACATTTACTTTTATTACATGATGATTAAAAGTAATCTGAGAAATGTAAAGTCCTTTACATTAATGGTCCAGGCCTGAAAGTAGTTCTCACTTTGCCCTGATTAGTCCTGATTTGTATAATCATAAATGTGTGAACACTCCCAAAGGCTAAGCTGGTGGAGTCATAGCTTTTACCTACTTGATCACAAGGGTTGGTGGGGTACCTCTCATATGCAGCTTCTCTATAGGCTATGTTTTGTTCTCAATATATGCAGTAGACAAATTAAAAAAAATCAGTATAATAATCATTATAATACGCCTGAGCCTTTAAAAGTAAAACAAACATATACAAGAAAAATAATCAGTTGATCTGCAGCAGATTGAGGTTGATGACAATATGAATTGTTGCCTGTGGACGTGTGTTTTAAAAAAGGACTTGAAAGATGAAGCTGAAGTAAAAAAGCAGGCAGGAGTACACAAATCTGAGGAGCCTCCAGTCAGTGGCATGAAGGGGATAAAAATTCAGTTTTGAGCTACACTCATTTCTACCTGATATGAAATGCATTCTTTTGTCAATGAAGATATATACTTTGGTTTTCTTTCTGTAATCTGCAGCAAAATTAAACAGTGAGCCAGTTGCCAGAAGAAACCTCAGAGATGTCGTCACCACAAGCCAGTGGGTTTCTGTTATAATGATATGCTTCAAATGCAAGAAAGAGTTTGACTGGTGCTGGTGATTGATTGATTGATTGATTGATCAGTGATTAATTTGTACCATCACTATCTCTACTTTTTTAAACAGAGAGGCCAGAGGTTTCTCTGTGTGATGCTGTTTCAGAAAGTGAAAGTGCTGCCAAACCACACAAACAAGGTACAGTGGACAAAGTGACAACTCTGGTAAACAGAGGGACACAACTAAAGACAAACATGTTCATTTGTTTTGTTGTTTGCCTTCATTGTGTGTAGACATGAGGAGGAGGAGGGAGACACGACCAAGCCCATTCAAAGTGCCAGATGACAACAGCATTTTTCTACTGAGTGCAAATGAAAAAGAGGACCAGAAAGAGGTTGGAGCTATTGTGAATACAGAAACAACTTTTACATGCAGCACATGATACACACGTGACCCAGTGTTTTTTAAAGAGTGTAAAAATCTGTCTCCACTGTGTTTAAGTCATTCTGCTGTTCTCCACCATGCTCAGGAGATACGTAAATTCCTGGCTCTGCCAATTGATAAGAAGACGACCCACGCTGCGCGAATGATGGCCAAGATAAAGAAAGAGCTGGTGGGAGAACTGGAGGAGGAGGAGGAGGAGGAGGAGGAGGAGGAGGAAAGGCAGAAGATGAAGAATCTAAAACAAATAAAGGCTAAACCAACTTTCCTAAAGCAAACACCAGGCAGACAGGAGCTGAAGATCGCCATGATGAAACGAGGTGAAAGAGTCTAAATGTGTTACATTTTATAAAGATGCTACATTTACTTTTTTAAATGGAATTCCACTGCCATGGCACGGATATCTATAAATTTTAGCTATTCTTTTTGTCCTCTGACCCCAGAAAACATTTCAAAAGACAGCAAACATGACCTGATCTTCATGGAACGACAGAAGGCAGTGTTGGAGGTAAATCATTTTAGAGGTTGCCAAGATCTAGGTGAAGCCATGAAGACAACTATAATCAGGTTCTCAGTCTGACACGTCTCTGAGCGTCAGTTGTTTTGTTCAGTCAGTGTCTGCTCTTCTCCAGGGGCTTTGCAACAGGCCAGGCAAAGCAAGCAATTGCCCCAAGCTGAGAGAGGCCCCCAAGAATAATTATGTTATTCAAGAGCAAATAAAGTTTAGTGAGAACCCTGTTCAACTCTATCAGCAGCCAGGTCCCCTTTGCCCGGGGGCGCCATAGTCCCCTAAAACACTCCTGCTCCTCCCCCTGCAACTGCATCTCTGTTTGTCTCCCTCTTCAATTGTCTCCCTCATCTTTCCATATTCAGTTATCTCTGATGACAAAGAGGAATGAGATTTTGAAGATGGACAAGGCCATAGCGAAGGAGAACAGGCAGCTGAAACAGCTTGAAAAGATCATTGAGAGAGACAACCTCAGCTTTGAAGACTTCCTCAGGGAGAACGAGAAGAAGTCTGTGGAGGCCAGAACCTTGTGAGAATATCAACATATGGAATCAGCAAAATTGTGCTTCTTGAAATTCTTTTGGACTTTAGAGATCCCACTGCAGATGGTTGTGTTTGTCTCTGTTGTCAGTTTTGAACGAGAGGCCAAGTCCAAACAGGAGAAGAACTCTGAGATCAAGAAACTGACTGCTGAAATAGGGACCATAAAAAGGTGGCGCTCTGATGATGTTGATGTGCATGTGAATACTGAAAATGGTGCACAGAGGTGAACTCGGAAGGACACAGTGTCATGTCATGTGTTTCTCAATAAACTCTCTCCTCTTCACAGTGAACTCATCAAGTTTGAAGAAATCCTGGTGGACCACAAGAGGTACAAGGAGCTGCTGTTCAAACTGTCTCCTCCAGAGTGGCAGGAGGCCCAGAGAGTGAAGGCTGCGAAAACTAAAGTCCTGTCTGACAAAGACACACGGGACAAACAGGAGCTGAAGGACTCTGCAACTAGGAACGGTAAGTACTTTACTTTGGTGCAAGTACAATTGTCTTGTATGTTCACGTAAAGCACTTTGAATTGCCGTTGCGTCTGAAATATAGATATGTATAAATGAACTTGCCTTGCCAAGTAAAACAACATTAACAACATTATTATTATTGTTTTGTTGCAGTGAGTATGGATGGTGCTAATAGTTTGATATGTATGATAATGTGTGCACAGGTTTGGAGGGTGACGTGTCAAGTTCAGGTAGAGAGCTGCCATCCGTCAGAGCGATGAAGTTGTCGTCAGCCCACAGCGACACACTGTGAGGAAACAACACACTTAACTCAGCACTGATTACTGTGTGTCTGCACCTCCAGTATTTCTCTTGTAGATAATGATGGATAATCTCATCAGGCAAAAGAAACGTGAAAAAATGATTTCCTGTAAACATAAGTTAAAAACTTGTGTGCCTCATATCACATGGTATACTCACTGTTTTGACACACATATGATTGTACAATTTGTGGAATGCAGAAAATCTATTTAGAATCCTGTTTACATGCTGCTGCAATTTCTCCTGACCCAAACTTTTTCTCTTTCATCTCAGGATCGCAAATCCCGATCAGGATGGTGATAGCTCAGAGTATGAGGTCAGATTTCTAGAAAAATAGCCCTTATTCTTGAGTTTACATCACTGGTGCTCACAGTTAGCTTGGCTTTGCCTCCTTGTTATGTCTCCTCTCTGCAGGATGAGCCAGAGCTGTACTTCTCTGATCCCCAACAGCTCTTAGATCTGGTGACTGAGCTGACGGAGCAGAACTTGTCCCTGATCCAGAACTCGACAAGGGTGGAGGAGATGGTGGAGGAGCTCCGACAGTCTATGGTCACAGCCAGGGAGAAGATGTAAGCATCGCCAAACAAGGCTCTGTGAATGTATCTCTACCTGTTTCCTGTAAAATCTTCCCTCTGACATTACTGTATGGACATAGGAATTAGTATATTATATCTGTGTTTTGTTGTATTAATTTTGTCAGTATGGATGTGCGCCAAACAATTACATCAGAAAGTGACAAATAAAAGCTCCCACATCTTCATCAGGTCCAGATCCTCACATGCTGAATCTCTTTTTTTTTTGCTTTACTTTTAAACCTGTGCAGTTTGACAGTAAAATATTATTTTTCCTTTCTGTAGTGAAAAGGATGAAGAGCAGCTAACACTGCAGATCAATTACATCCACCAGAGAATCAACAAAGAGAAGGAGAGAGGCAACAGGCTCAAACATAAGGTTCAGCTTCATGTGTCATTGAACACTGAGGACCAGGTAAGCAAGCACAAGACATGTTCGACATGTATTTTCCAATCACTTTTCCAATCTCAAAGCTGCATGTGGCAGCATTAAATGGATCTCTGATGTTATCACATGTTAGTTGGCACCAACAGACCGGAGGCAGCACGTTATTGTTGACTGTCTGAGTGTGTTTCTCTGACAGGATGTGATGCTGAATGCTCTTGGCGAGAAGGTAGCAGAGGTGCATCGCAGCTGTGTGGACGACAGGATGACCAACCTTAGCACCTTGGAAAAGCTGGCCACTATTGAGAACCATCTGTCTGTACTGCTGCAGAGCATCGAGAGCATCCCTGAAGAAAGCTTGGCCATGATGAAGAAGATAAAGGACAGCGAGAGGAGGACCAGGTACTGTGAATTAACTGGAAAAGAAGATGAATAAAGACTATAGTGGCAGCATGTTATTTATCAATCCCCTCTCCTCATACATCATTGTGCAGGGAGCGTGAAGAAAAACTGATAGAGCAGAGAGAGAAGCAGAAAGAAAGGATGAGGAGGTATATGGAGCGATCCCTCGCTGACTCCAAGAAAATAGTAAGTCATTCACTTAAAACGCCTTCATGCAGCTTGTTATGCAACAATTTGGTTTTACCGGTTGAAATTTAAAAGATTTATGTAAAGTGTGAACCTGATTTTGCTGTAAAAACAAAAAAAAAGTAAAGAATTATGAGTGATTCATAATTTCTACCTCATTTTCTTTCAGAGTGGGAGAAAGCTCATGCCTAGATGTATGCCTGTTACCCAGAAAGTCAAAGTCAGCAACGTGGACAACATCCCCGCTGAGGACGAGCTCCATGCCTACCTCTTCACTGCTGAGGAGTGAGGAGTCAAATGTGATGAAGACATAGAATGACTACATCCACAGAATCAACGTTCTAATATTGTAGAACAGCAAATAAAACCTTTTGATTGCAGTGAATAACTGAGTTGGCCTGGTTGTAGTGGTGAAATCTCACTGAGGTAATTTATTCCAATTCTGTACTTAGGTAGAATTGTAAGGTGCTTGTGGAATGTTATGTAGAAATGCCAAACTACATCGAACACTCAATTGTGTTTTGTGAGACGAGTTGTCACTCTGGAGCTCTTGATGAATCTTAAGATTTTATTATGAGAGTTGGTAGTGTAGCTACTCCACACTCTAATCACTTATTCTCTAAATGCCCAGCAGCACAGGCTTTAGTTTCCTTGTAAATCTTACAAAACCCTATTTTCACGTCCTTCTAGTTTAACAATCCTTAATTACGTATGTGTCCCCTTTTCTCAAGAACACCAGATTATTTTCTGTTTTCTGCCCTCAATCCAAAATGTCATGGGTTCTCTTGAAGTCTGTTCAAATCCTCTTGTCATCGTTATTAATCACAGTCAAGAGGACTGGATATGAAGTTGCCAGAGCTGTAAAGGACCAGTTCAAACAACCACTTTATTTGTTTCATGGGTATTTGGCCTGTTAGTTAATCGACTGCCTTTCCACACATGGATGTCTGTTTTTGTTTAGAAATCAAATTTGATCCAGGAACAGTGGAAAACCCCAAGCAGATGAAATCAGTGGATGCTGCCTCACTGTGTGATTGGACTCCTCGTCGTAGTCTTAAAACTTTTTACCTAAAGCCTTTTTTAATCTCTTGACTCTGAAAATCAACCCCTGACGAGGCTGCACTCAGATGAATCACAGAATCTATCACGTTTAGTTTTTCTTTTGCCAACTCTTTAATTTTCTGTCTGCCATATTCTGCCTAAGCTCATGTTTACCACATCTCTTGAATGACAGCTGCAAGAGACTTAATGGTGATGTTTGACACTTTCTACATCCATTGCAATTTGGCTTAAATGACACCGTTTCCATTTTCTTTTCAGCAAGAAGGTGTCTTAGTGCCACAAAAGAGATGAAGTCCATGTACTGGATTCAGGCAGTGGAAATATCCGTCTGTCTGATTGCAATGTAACATGTGACAACCAGTTATTTCTGTGCAGGCGAAGGATGACTGAAAATGGAAAACAGGGAAGCCAGGAAGTGCAGTCTATCCACAGAAAGTGTTTTAAAAAGACAGATTTGAAATAAAATCTGAAATAACTTGAAAAAATACTGATTTTGAGATCTGCTCCCGATGTAAATATGTAAAAGTTATTTAAGTGTTTAAACGTTAAGGGTCCATTTAAGGGTGAAGAAAACAACAATTCATACAATTTAAATGAAACATACAAGTGAAAACATCACTAGGAATATTTTAAATTCAAGTCTTGCACCAAAGATTAAGGAAAGTCTTCCAGACAGTAACACTTTTTTTTCCTTCCTGGGTGAAGTGCACTGCATCAGGTAGATAGAGTTTCTTCTTGTACAGCCTGAGTGGACGTTGAACCACTTCACCCCCAAACTGGTGAACAGCCTTCATCACGAGTTCATTGACTGTCCTCCTGTCACTGTTGATGACCTTCTGTTCACCGTAGCGCCTCGCTTGCTGCTCGTTGATGCAGGACAATAGAATCTTCAGGGAGGGGAACTCTTTGTGGAGCTGCATCAAGCCCCTCATCATCTCAACGGCAAGTTTCTTGGCTGGCGTGAGTCCCAGATCGTTGCCACCGGCGTGAACAACCAAAATGTCTGGGGCACTCTGTGTGGACAGTTCGCTGTAAAAGCGAGGAAGGACTCGACTCCACCACAGGCCTCCTTTGCCAAACCACTCCACTTTGGCATTGAGTCCAATGTTCTGGAACGCTGGAAAAATAATTTCATATCATCAAATACTCGGCGATTGAGTGGAGTGGAGAGGAGCGCACTCTGTCTCGGCCTATGGAGCTTATTTTTCACACAAAAAGTGTGCGTCCTATTTACCCGCGGACCAGTTGAGATAGACATATGTCATTTATTATAATATATCACTTACTATGTACTTTTATGTTTAATATTCTAAGTAACATTTTGATTACAATACTTTCATCCATCCCAGATGACATTGGGTCAGAGGTGGGTTAAACCCTATATCTGTTATAACTTAATGTGACAACTTCAAATGGCTGGCTGGTGCTTTTTGCTCCGTGTGAACACCATGAGGAATGTGATCCAGTTTCATTGACAGGTTTTAAGATGCTGTCTCACCGTGCTACAAACCCCACTAACACTGACAGTACAGTAACACGACGGTAGGGGGCGGTGTCTGTCATTGCTGTCTGGCACGTCATCAGTCGGAGAGGAAGGAGGATGCGGAAGTGTCTGAGGAGGAGGAGGACAGGAGTTGGAGCTGCTGGACATGTATTTATCAGCCGTGAGGATCCAGCAGCTGTCCGGCAGCTAGGTACCGGTGTTATCCGACAATGCGATGGGTAACTGCTGGGCTTACTGTGCGGGTCTCTTCAGGAGAGAGGCCAACAGGATCCAGAGAGGAGGCGGGTAGGTGGAACATCACGGCTGTTGCTGCCTGAGCTAACTTAACTAGCATCATCTGAGCTGCTAACGTTAGCTAACAGTGGGTTAGCTCCCAGCTGATAGCACAGCATGTGTGTGTTTGTGTGTCAGTGTCAGCAGACTTCTAGTTCAGCTCAGGGTGGTGATGTGTTGCTGCTGGGAGATGGAGACCGGACAGTCAGACACAGGCTGGGCTGTGTGAGGTCTCTGCGGGGTCCCAGCTGCAGTCACACGGTGTCAGCAGGACTCCAGACCCCACCCCTGTTCTCACCAGGGTGGACATGGAGGTGGTCAGGTCTAATTAATGGAGAGCAGCAGCATTAAAGACACATAAAGACAGAGCTGCTGATGAAGTAGACTAATACCTGGACGCTGTCCCCCCCCTCTCAGTCCCAATACATACACTCACCTGATTGTTCATAGCGTTACTTACAGGCAGACATGTCACCCAATGTGTCATTAATCATTTATGATTTCATCCTGAGCTTTGTCACGATAAGAGCTTGCTTGTTGTCCTTGTGCAATTACTTTCACACATTTCTATAATGATAATTATCATAATAATACTAAACTTCATTTCTTTAGTGCCTGTCAAAACCAGACTTATAAGGTTCTTAACAAAATACAGTATAAGTTAACAAACCATAGAAAAGCCTGATCATGCTCAACAGTGCAATGAACAAAACAGACACAAAACAAAGAAAACATAAAATAAAACATCAAAAACTGTAAGAATGCCTATATTTCTATACAGGTGAGTTTGTAACCACTTATTAAACTGAGGTACTGATTCTGCTGAGCTGATGTTGAGGTGAGGTGTGTTCCACAGTGTTGCAGCTGAAACCTTAAAAGCCTGATCTGTTTGGTTTTAAACCTCGATCATGGGACTTGTATCATCAAGAAAAGAGAGCCATATATTTGACTCAATTCTGTCAAGGACATTGTGCTTGACAGATAAAGCAGTTGTAAGTTTTTTAGTACGAGACCGGTGGTTTGGAAACTTCATACATTTGTATGTAACCACTTTGCTTGCTCCCATCAGGCCATGCTTTAACTAAGTAAAATGACAGCCATCTTGACTGGAGTAATACAAATTTAGGTTTTGCTCCATATTCAGTGAAATCAAATAATGTATTATTATTGTTGAACATGAGCTGAATAATTATTCATAAATTAGTCAAAGATATGAAAGGGTTAGTATGTAAGTTACGTCATCGATACAACCAATATCACCAGCTGTGATATCACTTGTTTTGGGTGTGGCCAAAGTGCAACATGCTTTAAGGCTGAGCCAAACAAGAGCAACAGACATGTGTCATTTCAGAGAAATCACAGACCTAATCAATAATTCATTTAGATGAGCCTGATGTGAGGTCCTGGTATTGTGCACTGACTGCTTAATGAGCTGCACGTCATCCCTCCAGTGTTGATTAAACTTATTAAAGAACAAACCACGTTTTTGATGAATGGTACATAAGTCTATTGATGATTTCAGCGTATGATCTGTTGTATTAATGTAGACTTGTCATATGTCTGTGCCAATAATGAGATTTAAACAGTCACAGTGGACAGACGACCAGAGCAAGACAAATCTTTAGAGCCATTTGATTAGTGCCTATTGATGAACACTTTACTACTTGTCAAGACTTTTTTATCCAGTATCAGCTAATTTAACAAACATATGTCTTATCAGAGTGATGAAATATCTGGCTCCATTTAATTATCCAACAGTTTCTGATAAAAGCTGCTGCAGAATTTCAATTGCTAACAACAAAACATGCGTAATGAAGCTGCAGTCAGTTGCTAGTCTTATTTATAGTTAAGATTCTTTAAAAAAAAAGTATGGTTATATATAATATACAGTAAATGTTGTAACTGTGAAAAATGAGCAACATATTCATTCACTGTGTAGTGATTAGAATCTGTATTTACTATTTGCTTTGTCCATATCACATCCAGTAGTTTAGTAGCCTCGCGAAATGTCCAAATGAGCTCTACGAGAATTCTCCTCCACACCTTCAACATTGTTGCCTTTAAACCTACCTGTCTCATACTGGGAGTTTCCTTCAACTGCAGCTGCTCAATTAACTCGCTCTCCCAGATTTCATGCTCTTGTCATGAGTTAATCTCAATGTCAGAGGTCTTAAATGTAATCATCATGCAACTACTGCGTTTTAAGTATCAGCAATTGAGTTTATATGTTTCCAGTCATCTGACTTTATAGCTAAGTATATGCCAGACATTAGAAGTGTTTCCCATCAGTGTTCATATGTTCTCTGAATCGTTCTTACAGATCCAAATATTTCCGAAGCAGCACCACAGGGGAACATTATACAATCGAGGTATGTCTCATATGTTTACTGCTGTTGTTTCTTTTTTTTTTTTTTTTTAATGTGTGATTTTATGTCTTATTGTGACTTTTTATTTTGCAGTTTGAAAATCTGGTCGAAAGTGATGAGGTAAGTCTGATC